CGCCCGCCACAACGCCCGGCTATTTTTTGGTTGCAGCCATCATCGTTGTTTGGCGGGTCCAGGCTGGGGATTCGAACCCGACAGCTTAGGTGTACAACCCGACAGCTTAGGTGTACGTGGCTGGCGCCTTAGCCGGTTGAGCTATAGGCGCCGAGCCGAAAATATATCTTTATTTTAAATACTCAAAGCATTTAAGTGCCCATTTATAAAATAATTTGCTGAGAATGTTATGGGGTTATACATCAGCTGACAGTCTCTGCATTTTAAGTTTATTGTTTAGGTGTATAGACATATTAGTACATAGATACTGATTTATAATTTGTATATGTTACAGGAAGCACAAAAAATAATTATTGTTTTTATTTTTTTGAGATAGAGTCTCAAGCCATCACCCTGAGTAGAGTGCTATGGCATCACAGCTCACTGTAACCTCAAACTCTTGGACTTAAGCGATTCTTTTGCCTCAGCCTCCCAAGTAGCTGGGACTATAGGCATCTGCCACAATGCCTGGCTATTTTTTGTTTCAGTTGTCACTGTTGTTTAGCAGGCCTGGGCTGGGTTTGAACCCTCCAGCCTCGGTGTATGTGGCTGGTGCTGTAACCACTGTGCTTCAGGCACCAAGCCCAAAAAATTCTTTTATCTGAGAATGTCATATTTTGCTAGGAAGTGGATGGCAAAGGGCTAAACCAAAATACCTACTTATTTTTCTACTTCGTGAACTCTTAGAGATTAATAAGAACTATTGGGATTGTGTGAAAAATCACAAATCCATATATAATATTGTAGTCCACAAACAACTCTGATTATGCTCATGTTGGATCTGTTTTCACATACTGCTAACTCCAGCCAGGCATAAGATGTAGTTATCTGGACAGTCATTCGCTTAAAGCCCAGTCCTTAACTATAGGTATCCATCACTTAGGATTTTAAGACTTGACATTTACGTATACTATTATGATGTCTATGTGATAGAGTTGAGAGTTCAGTCCCTAGAATTTTCCCTTTTCTTTGGGCAGTCTTTTCAGAAAATTGAATTTTACAAACTATCTCTTAAAAGAGCATGACTCTGGTCTCTTAAGATTTCAACCATTTGCTGAGATACTTGTTTTAATTAGGGATAGGGCACAAGTACAAATAGAATTGTTAACTAACCCTTTTCTATGTGGGAAAATTATTACTGATATTTAATTATTAAGAATAGGATTAAATGTACTCTTTGTTATCTTTGAGGCTAGGAGTTATTCTAGTGTTTAACTGATTTTTAAGAAATATGTAATAATGTAATAATTTTAACAAAAACATTTTAGCCTTAAATGGCTAAAGGTGGAAAACTTATATGAAGATCTGGAGAGGAGCTGTGATAAAACACTTTATAAAGTAATTGCTCACATGAAAGTAACACAATGTTTAAGACTGGTTGACTTGTCTAAGACCTCTTCCTGCTATGTTATTTAAATGATATCTTCTTATAGGATTTTTATGGGTATGTTAGTAGTTTCATTTCATTGGAAATCAATAATGGGACCACGTTTGGGGGGAATAGAGGAAGGGGAGGTGGAAATCTAACTGTACATAATTGAAGTTTTTGGTATTGTAACATTGCTCTAAAGACTTGTTCTAATTTCAGTGTTTTGGGATCAGATGTTTTAGCCAAAATAGTAGATACAAAGCATGAGATTTTTAAGAAAAATGATTAAATCTCCCCTTGAATTTTTTTTTTTAACTGTTAAGAAATAGGGTCTTGCAGTTGGGCATAGTGGCTCATGCCTGTAATCCCAGCACTCTGGGAGGCTGAGACAGGTAGAATGCTTGAGCTCAGGGGTTCAAGACCAGCCTGAACAAGAGCCTGTCTCTACTAAAAACAGAAAAACTAGTCAGGCATTGTGGGTGGTACCTGTAGTCCCAGCTACTTGGGAGGCTGAGACCTGTGGATTGCTTGTGCCCAAGAATTTGAGGTTGCTGTGAGCTGCGATGGTGATGCCACAGCACTCTCCCCAGGTCAACAGAGTGAGAGAGTGAGACTCCTGTCTAAAAAAAAACGAATGGGGTCTTGTTATTTAGCCCAGACTTGCCTCAAGGGATCTTCCCACCTCAGCCTCCCAAATAGCTGGAACTATATATAGGCTTGTTCCACCATGCCCAGCTTTTTTGCGTTGCAGTTTTATTTTACTTTTAAAAATAAATATATTTATTTTAATTTATTTTTTAATAAAATACATATATATATTTACTTTTTAGAGATAGAGGTCTCACCCTGTTGCCCAGGCTGGAGTGCAGTGGCACAATCATAGTTCATGGCAGCCTTGAACTCCTGGGTTCAAGTCATCTTCCTATCAGCCTCTTGCATAGCTGAGATTATTATAGGCATGTGCCACTATGCCCAGCTGATGTTTTTTATTTTTATTTTTTATAAAGATAGGTCTTTCTATGTTGCCCAGGCTGGTCTTGAACTCCAGGTCTCCTGTGGTCCTCCTGTCTTGGCCTCGCAAAGTGCTGGGATGGCAGGTGTGAGCCACAGCAGCCAGCCTACATTATAATGTATAAGATTATTGGCATTAGGGGTAGTGTTCAAACTTGAGCTGTTGCAACAGCTTGCTAATGGTAGGCTTTTCTGAATTTTATTAAATGGCAGTCCCCACAAAATGATTATTTTACTGATTCAATTGTAACTCTCCATTCTTTTGATAGGATATCTACAGGGAAATGGGATTTGGTCACTATGAAGAAGAAGAAAGCTGCTGGGAGAAACAAAAGAGTGAAAAGAGAGACCGACCTCAGAACCGAAGTCGTAGCCGATCTCGAGAAAGGGATGGCCATTACAGTAATAGTCACAAATCCAAATACCAAACAGATACTTATGAAAGAGAAAGGAGTAAAAAAAGAGACCGAAGCAGAAGTCCAAAGAAATCCAAAGATAAAGAAAAATCTAAGTACAGATAAAAGATTAGAGGCAGAAATGAGTGGCTAACATACTCTCGTCTGACCTAGAGTACCAGGAAAGCAGATGTTCAGATTTTGTGTCAAGACAGTTCAAGACTCTGCTTGTTATTTTTTTCATAGTAGGATCATGGCCCTTTTAGATTAATGCTGATTATATAGGGCACTGAAAGATAAAGGATTGAACATTTTCTTTGTATATATTTTTTAACACTAATGTCATTGTTATACATAAATGGTAGTCTTCATTTTTAAAGTTACATTTTCACTCTTTTTTTAAATGAAGTATTTCATACTACAAAAGTATGTAAACATGTATATATGGCATAAAGAATAATAAATGTAAATATCTGTGTACGTATCAGCTAGTTTTAGAAATAGACATTACATTTTAGAAGTCTGCTTTTTCTACATTTTGTGTTTGTCATTGCTTTTGTTATAGTCTTACAACATATGTGTGTGTCCCTAAATGAAATGTTAATTTTGTATGTTTTTTGGATTTTATATAAATGGCATAATGTATGTTTACTTCTGTGACGTTAGTTTTCTGATGTAGCATTTTTTGAGAGTCATATATTTTTTATTGCCGAATATGCTACAACTTGCTTATTCTTCTGTTATAGACATTTGGGTATTTTGTGTTTGTTTTTGTTTTTGCTGTCGCATACAATGCTTCTGTGAATATTGTCTATTTAGGAGTGCTATTGATTGGTCATGTGGTATGGCTATAATGCCAAATTATGTTCTGAAGTAGCTGTGCTGGCATTGCGAATTACCTTTGTTTCACAAAATCTCTAACACTTGTTAAATTTGGACTTTTAAAATGTTGGCATTCTAATGGATGTTAAGTGGTATCTTATGATTTCCAGCAGAAAGACTACTGTTCTTCCCTCTTTTCTTCTCTATGTAAAGTATCTTTTTTTTTTCTGGCTACCTTTAAGGTTTTCTCTTTGTAACTGGTTTTAAGTGATTTCATTATGGTGTGCATGTTGTAGTTGTCTTTCATGCCTCTTTTGCTGTGGCATGTCTGTTTTACCTGTGGGTTTATTGTTTTCATCAATTTTGGGAATTCTGGGACATTTTTCTTCACTTACATTTTCCTGTGTTGTTTCTGTTCCTCTTCACTCAACTACAGTCCAGTTACTGGTAGGTATGTTACACCACCTGAAATTGTCTCACAGCACACCCATGTTCTTCAGGGTTTTTTAAAAGTCTTTCCTCTCTTTGCTGTGTCCTCATTATTCATTAATCTTTCCATCTGAGCTATATTATCTCCTTTTGATCTCATCCAGTGTGTTTTTCACCTCAGACCATTCTGTTTTTAATCTTTAAAAGTTCTGTGTGTCTTTATCTTCTATGTTTCTTCCTAACACGCTCACACTTTCCTTTATTTTTTTTGAACATCTGGTGTATGTTTATAATAGCTGTTTCAATGTACGTGAGTGGTGTGTTACCTGCATCATTTCTAATCTGTCTCTATTGATTTATTCCCATCTGACCCCAACCCTTCCTATATCTCCCCACCCCTGTATTGGACTTTAATTTCCTTTACATCCTGGTAATTTTTCATTGTTTACATTGGGTACTGGAGTTTCTGTTTTCCTTTAAGTATTTTGAGCTTTGTTCTTAGGATAAGATTAAGTTACTTGGAAGCAGTTTCATCATTTCATTGCTTTTAAGTATAACTAGTTAGGACTGGAATGGCCTTTAATCTAGGGCTAATTTGACCCACTGCTAAGGAATACCCTTCTGAATAATCTTCCCTGTTAAACAATTTCGCTACTCTGCCTCTTGGGAACATGAACTATTTATTCTGAGCCATATATGAACTCTCAAATTGTACTTTCTGCTTCTAGTAGTTTTTTTCCAGCCTTGGGTACTTTTTTCACCATGCATACACTTATTGGTATTTAGCTGAGGATCCGAGGGGAGCCCTCTGGAGTTCCCTCCTCCTTACTACTCTGCTGTACGAATTTTACCTTGACTTCCCTAAATTGTCTACCTACAATTTAGAGTTTCCTTCTCTAGCCTAGTGCTATGGCCTGGGATCTCCCTATAGTAAACTTGGCAGCTGTAGGGCTTTCTATGTTTGTTTCCCTTCCCTCAGGAGTCACTATCCTGCACTGGCTGTTGTCCAGCGTCTGAAAAAATTTGCCGTATACATTTTGTACAGGTTTTTAAAATGGGGAAGGTAAGGGTGGAAGTTAATTTTTTGGATTTGTATTTCCCAAATGCCAATAAGGCTGAGTGTCTTTTTACTTTTATAGTATATTCATTTCTGATTCCTCTCTGTGAAGAGCTTGTTTCATGTCTGTTGCCCACTTAGGTTATCTTTTTCTAACTAATTTCTTTAAGGAGTTTTTTTTTTTTTAATATATTGTAGATACTAAGTCAGGAAGTATTTCTATTTTCTTGGAAGTGAAGAAAAAGATTTAAATTATCCGTTCCTTGAAAGTTAGATAAAGCTTTCCTATAAAATTATCTGAACCTTGTATTTCTTTTGTGAGAACATTTCTGAACTATTAATTAGATTTCAAGATTATAGAATTACTAGCTTTTCCATGTCTTTAGTGTTAATCATTTTTGTTATTGCATTTTTCTGGGAATTATCATTATCATCAGAGTTTTTAATTTATTGATGAAGTTGCTTATTGTTTAGCTGGTACATTTTTTCCTATCCTTTTATTTCTCCTTTATTAATGAATGTTTGTGTGTCATGAACAGCATATAGGGAGATTATTTTTAAATGTAATCTTATTGATGTATTTGGATTTATTCCTACCTTCTTATTCAGTGCTTTTTCTGTTTCTACTTTTTTTTAATTAATAAAAAAAATAATTTCACTCCCCCACTTTTTGTTTTGGGAAAGAAACTGCCTTTGAATTTTACTGTTTACACTTACAGTATAATGTTAATATCTTTACCTTCCTGTCTTATTGAGAGTCTTGGAACTCTTTAAATCACTCCTCCTATAACTATTGGGCCATAATCATCCACTGTTTTAGTCTTAGCTTGTGATTTTTAACTTTAAAATTAGACGCTGAGCCAGGCACAATGGTACATACCTGCAGTCCCAGCTGCTTAGGAAGCTGGGCTGGGAGGATCCTTCGAGGCTGCAGGGTGCGGCTCACACCTATGAGTAGCCAATGCCCTCCAGCCTGGGCAACATAGCAACACCTTGTCTCTTTAAAAAAAAAGAAAAAATTAGACCTTGTGATTATTCCTCTTATACAAATAATTGTTTAGATTTACCCACATGTTAAAATAGTTCCTTCACTTACCATTCTTCTTACATGTCAGACCTTTCACCTGGGAAAATTTTCCCTTTTTCTGAAAGTTTGATGTTGCTATAGTGATAGTCTGTTGGTGGTAAACTGTTAGTTTTTGTTTATCAGAAATATGTTTAATTCACCTATGTTCCTTAAGGTTGATTTTCTATTATTTCTCTACATAATTCTACATTAATATTTTTCCTCAGTACTTTGTTTTTTTACTGTCTTGACTTTTGTTAATTACTGTGGAGATATCTTTTGTCATTTCAAATGTCATTCTTTTGGATGTAATGTAACTTTTCTTTCTGGCTGCTTTTTTGGTATTGTTAATTAAAGTTTTTATTTTGGTTAATTGTAAAAATAATACAGAGAGATCCCGTGTACTCTTTACCTAGTTTCTCCCAATGGTACCGTCTTGTAAAGCTATAGTATACACATACCATAATCGCCAAAATGTTAACATTGACAGATAGTGAAGCTGTAGAACATTTTCATATTACAGGGACCCCTCATGTTGTCCTTCAAAGTCTAAAATCCTAAAAATCACAATTCCAAAAATATTATTTTGGAAAGTCTAATTTAAAAATTCTTTAAAAGATATTTATTTAAATTTTTAAAAGGGAATTTATTTGAGAAACATATAAAAAACATGACAAAACACTTCATAGGCCCATTACACAACAAAATTAGAGACAATAACATTTTTGCAAGCATGAAAAGGTATATTAATGACACTTGCACAGGTTTAACAGTTATGAGCAGACATAACTGTATTTCTTTTTATAAAGAAATAGATCAAAAAGGGAAATGTATAAATCCATGTCACTCAGGCTGATAATTGGGGGCCTCCAGCTTTATAGTTGCAATTACCTGAAAGATTGCAACAACTGATTTTTCTCACCCATTTCACTTAGACTTACACTATCCTCTACTGGAAACTCTCACAGATACATTCACAATAATGCTTTAGCATTGAGTCTACAAGTACCCCCCCTTGTTGATCTGGCATACATCTATATCTCCTTAAACCACACTTAACGTCCAAATAAAGACAATTGCAAAGCAACAGTTCTGCCTAGGTTGGGCGTAGTGGCTAGCACCTGTAAAACTTAACACTGGGAGGCTGAGGCAGGTGGATGACTTGAGCTCAGGAGTTAGAGATCAGCCTGAGCAAGAGCAAGACCCCTACTAAAAAGAATTAGCCAGGCATTGTGAGGCTGAGGCAAGAGGATTGCTTGAGCTCAGCCCAGAACTTTGAGGTTGCTGTGAGCTATGAAGCTAAGCCACTCTAGCCTGGGGCAACAGAGTGAGACTCTTGTCTCCAAAAAAAAAAAAAAAAAGTAAAAATAGTTCTGCCTGGCATGATGCAACTATCCTGTGATCGTGATCTTCGGGATTTTGATGTTTGAGGATTATGGCATTCAGGATTGTGTCTATGAAGAAACCCTCTTTGGGATTGGCTGTGTTCCCCCCCACCCCTTACTCTTTGGAGGTTCTTCCATGTTTCATTGATCTTTATGGCTGAGTAGTATTACATGGTACAAATGTACCACAGTTTGACCCTTCATCTGTTGAAGGGCATCTGGGTTGTTTATAGTTTGAGACTGTACTAAATAAAGCTGCTGTTACTTGTGTGAACTTAGTCCTCATTTCTTTTGGAAACTGCTCAGGAGTGCAATTATTAGGTCATATAGTTATTGCTTAATTGGAATTTTAAGAAACAGCTGAATTGTTCAAACCATCCTATGTTGCCATCAGCAATGTGAGTGATCCACGTGAGTTCATCCACGTCCTTGCCAGCATTTAGTGGTGTCACTGTTTTGGGTTTACCATTCTGATAGGTATGTAGTGACAGCTTATTTTGGTTTTCATTTGTTTCCTTCATTGTTAATGAAGTCGAACGTCTTTTCATGTACTCATATCTTGTTTGGTGAACATCTAATTGGATTTTCTTGGCTTTTTAAAAAAGTTAAAAAATCTTTTTTTAATTTATTGGATCAGGTTCATTGAGGGTGCAAAGAATTAGGTTATGCTATTTGTATTTGTTAGGTAAGATCCCTCTTACATAATTGTGCTTTTTTTTTTAAATTTTGAATATTCCTTATGTGTTTTGCATACCAGTTCTTTGCTGGATATATTGTCTGCAGATATTCTCTCCCAGTATGTGTGTAGCTTGCCTTTTCATCTTAACAGAGTTTTGCATAGCAAAAGATTTTTAATTTTGCTGCAGTTTGTCAGTTTTCCCTTTTATGGGCTGTTTTTGGTGTCAAAAGTAAGAGGAAGTCTTTGTCTAGCACTAGATTCTGAACTTTTTCTCTTTTTTTTTTTCTCTCTAAAAATGTTGTACATTTAAGTCTGATCCATTTTGAGTTGAATTGGGGGGGAGCAGCTTATGAATATCCACTTGCACTATTTGTGGAAAAGGCGCTGGCTGCTTTTAAGGTTTTACTTCATCTTTGGTCTTCTAGAATTTCACTGTTCTTTATGTTTATTGGTATATCATTAACTGTGGCTTGATGGCTTCATGTTTTCCATTATTCTGGAAACATCTCTGCCATTTTCTCTTCAAATGCTGTCTCTCCCCTATTCTATCTCTTCTTTCCTTTTGCAACCCCAGTCAGTTTTATGTAAGACTCTCATTCTGTTGTTTGTATTTTAATTCTCATATTTTCCGTATGATGAATTCTGAGTGATTTTTTTCAGGTCTCCCATT